GCTATCCAAGTTTAAGCTATAGAGTTGGCTTGGCACCATAATTATTCTGTCTTGGCCGTTATTGTCTTTAAAAATCTTTCTTGCGTTAACTGATGACCAAAGGAACCAGGTGCAGTGTTGAGGGTAAAATCGGAGGTGGAAGAGTCAAATCTAATGATTAGATTCTAGTTAACTTTTGCTAATTGCAACTGATATGTGTCGGTGGTTACAAATGGCAAAAGATTAAGGAGCTAAACTCCTGATGGATGATGAATAACAGCTTCAAAAATTTGTGGGATGGCTTGATAGGATCTGTATTTAAAGTGACATCTCTATTATTTGTGGGGACACTTTGGCTTTGGCCCTTTTGTTTTTTAATTTTAATTTTTTTAATGGGCTATTAATATTTGGGCACTGCCGATTCCTCTACCAGAAGCTGGGAAGGTTTTGCGACCTAACAGGAATAATTGAACAAGGCGGCCCCCTCCAGTTAAATCCCATCTTTTTGCTTCCCTCACTCTGTGGTTTACGACTTGCGACTGTCGGTAGGGGACGCTGCGTTTTAACAGCCAATGAGACAGTTCATCTTTTTATCTCAAAATAGATAAACGGGTGCATTTATTAATTAGATGAATATTTTATTTATTTATTTTTTAAAAAAATGAGGTTTACAAATTGATCAAGGAAGGAACGTGAGACGTGGTTGCAGCTGCATCCGTCCTTTAAGGTGTGTGCTTACCGCCACGTGAGTGAAAGCAAATAAAAGTGATTTTCTGTTTTTGATAAAATGATAGTTTTTTTAGGTACAAATGAAATTAAAAAATAAGACATGAGACTTAATTTTAATCTGAAAAAGAAACAAAATTATATAATTATTTTTAATTTTTATATAATATTTTATAACATCAAGTTATATGAAATTCAATAATTTATTTTATAGGAATAATAATGATAACAATATAAAATAATCAAAGAATTACCAATTATATTAACAACCAAATGTCAGCTAAGCCTAAGATATAGACATTTGGAACAAATAGGCTATACTCTGATTCAAAATTTAAGGTAGCCTTTGCCAAAGGACTTGCATTATGAATAAGAATAATTTTAACAAAATAATTATGGACTCTTAAACCCTTTTTTACTTTTATCGTTAGAAGCGGTGGAATTAACTTGTTGAACCAAATTTGGGTGGTGAATATGAATAGCCGTCTCATCATGGGACCTTATCATTATTCCTATTTAATAGTATCTTCATTATAATATTTATTATTTTTGATGGCTGCTGTCCAAGGAAGCTTTTCTATGACCAATTGACCATGGACCATGGTTCCAATGAAACCATAATGAACGTATCTTGTCTCAAATTGTCGACGTCATTTTTGGATGGCCTAACCCTATTCCCTAGTTGCCTGGCCTTTTTAGTGTTTGGGCCTTCCGAACTCAAATGAGGCCCAATTCAGTATGCACATAAGCTGTATTGACTTGAGCCAACTTGGGAGTTGGACCCAATGACCTATATGTCTCTATTAGGGCTTTGGGCCTCAAGTCCGTAGATTTTTACTCGTTTCCAGTGAAAGTATCTTACTGGTCCGTGAAATTTTGTTCTCTTTACCAAATATTGTAAAAGTAATTTTACTGCTCAAATTAAAGAAAATATTAGAAACTTTCCTCATACCAAATGTCCACATTTATTTTAAGATTTAGTCTTGAAAGATTTTATGATATTGCATGAATGAAAAATATGTTTATTTCACTTATCTTGAAAGTAGAGACATTCCTCTTTTATATACTCTGTTCTGGATAAAGGAGGAGGAAGGAAAAAACTGAAAATAAATAACTAGAATTAAAAAATAAAATTAACTTCTTCAATTTATGACAAAGATAAAATTTAAACAGTAATTACCTCATGTGCCAACACGTGATCTTCTTCTTCATGACTTGTTTCTGCAATTCAAGTTTTTCCTTCTACACTCAAATCAACTTCTGTTTCTCTATCATTATTGTTGATACTCTCTTTCAAGAGGAGTGTAAATATTATGAATGTTCATCTTGTCAAGTAATTTATGAAATTATCTTGGCTGCAATGCCTTAGTGAATAAATCAACAATTTAAAAATCAATAGAATATGTTTTGGCTCAATACTTCCTGCAAGCACCTTATCTTGAATGAAATGACAGTTCATTTCTATATACTTTGTACATTCATGAAAAATTGAATTTTTATAAATGCATATGGCAGATTAATTGTCACAATAAAGTTTCACTGCAGCATCATGATTAATCTCAAAATCTACTAATAGGTGCTTTAACCATATAATTTCATGACAATCAGATGCCATGGATTGATATTCTACTTCTATTGAACTCCTTGCAACAGTTGATTGCTTTTGAGATTTCCAACTAACCAATGAATCACCAATAAAGACACTTAAACCTAAGACAAACCTGCAGGTATCTAGACATCTTGTCTAATCACTATCAAAATAAGCTACAATGAACAAATCTGATTTTGATTTCATTAGAATTCCTTGACTTGGTGCTATTTTCAAATATCTCAACACTTTGTATGCTGCCATTAGGTGTTCATTCCCAGGTTTATCCATGAACTATGACACAACCTATACTACATAAGATATATACAGTCTGGTAAATGTCAAATACAAGAGTTTTCTTACTAATTGTCTATAACTTGTAGGATCAACTTTTTTTTCTTCATCATTGATTCTGCTCAACTTGTGATTATAATCAATAGAAGTTATTATTGGCTTAGCTTCAAGTAATCCATACTCCTCTAAAAGGTATAATGTGTACTTCCTCTGATAGATAGATATATGTCAGTTAAAATTTTACTACGTAAATATACATATCGAATAGATAGTATATTAGCAAGCAGAGTATCGATCTCACAGCAAATTGATTTAAAAGTTTATCGAGTACTAAAATTATAACAAATTAATCATATCCAAACAATCAATATCAAATAACCAAATTAATTAACTAAAAATACTTAACCAAATTTAAACTAGGAAAAATCAAAATAATAAATACTCGAGTAAATATCAAATCAAACAAGCCTAAGATTACAATATCCCTCACACTTCATCTAAATCTTACATCTCTTTTTTAACTTATTTCAATAAGTTGAATTACTAACCTAGAGTCCTAATTTATTTATAAGGGTCTCTCAACTCATTTTATAAAAATATCTATTTTATAAAGATAACATGGGGCGTAAATTTGAGGTAAGGTAAGGATATAATGTTAGTGTATATCTATTATAACTTCCCATACTAATATATATTTTTCTTCGATGTAGGAATCTTTTATATAGGTTGTTGCAAATGCAACGAAGGTTTGGTCCATATGGGAGAAAATTTGCAAGGGCTGCCTTAAGCATTTATTAGTGAATGAGTGCAACAAGGCCAAGATGGACATGGGCAGCCCCAACGTCAATCTCTTATTGA